TATATATTTTGAGAGGTGATCTGTGAAATTTTTTGGATGCTTTCTGCATTCATTTTCCATACTAAATGCTCGTAGGAAGTTGAATTTTAATTCTCGAGATTCTGAGTCAATTTTGAGTAAAGGATGAAGCTTTTGTATAGAAACTCTTCATAAAGCTGAAGTTTGAATAAACGGAAGAGTGGTGTATGGGGCTATGAAAACTACTTCAAATACTACATGTATATTTCTAAACTGTATTTAAAAATGCAGGAGGTTTTTTTTTTGAGTTCATTTTTTTTCCCCTTACTTGTTGCCATGATCAGTTATCAGATCTTTTTTTCCCCCTCAAGGTACACTGAGCAGATTTTCCTGGAAAAGCTCATGAAAGCCCAGGAGTAGGGATGTGTTTACTCTGATCATTCTGCAAGTGTGAGTTATCTTCAGAGTTGGCATGTCTGAGCTGGGCACTGAGTTTTATTTGGTGGCATATGTGTTTTGGGATGGCTGGGCTACTCAGTGAGCATTATTCCTCTCTTCCTAGCTAGTTCACATCTAGGATTTACTTTCCTTTTAGAAGAGTTGCTTCGTTTACTGTTCAATGTTGAGCCAAATACATTCATACGGTATCTGTAACGAAATGCTAATAATCTGTTCCTTACTGTTGATCAGAAAGTCTTGTGCTTGTACTACGAACATTGCAAATTGTTGGCTGATGAGTCGTATATTAGGGAGACTGAAATAAGATATCAGACTTTGCAGAAGCTGTGCTGTTTTCCTCAAGCACTTCATGTCCTCTGTTAGTTTCCCTTCCTTGACTGGCTAGTCAAAAGGTGGAAGAAAACCAGGTGTGGAGGAGCAGAATCCCTGGGGAGTGCCTGAGCGCTCCTGTAGCCTTGCTAAATAAACCCATGGCTTTTTCTGAGCATCTTTTAGTGGGGAACCACAGAGGTGGCTCTGGGTATCAGCAGCACAACAGGCATCAGCCTTGTTCTCATTAACACAAAACCCATTTTACAGCTCTTTGATTAACTTCTCTTGTGTATGTGCACGTGCGGTGCTCTGCGCAGCTCCAGGTGCCTTCACGTCAACGAAGCCAGCGCTTGGTGGCCCTGTTGGCGATGGTAGCATGGGGGGATCGCTGCAGATCGTCCTGGGAGGATGCCGTGAGGGGAACAGCATCAGCTGGAGTTCGTACAGCTTCCTGGTTTGGAAATGGACATTGGCTTTGTGGCTGCTACTGCTGAAATAGCCCCTGGCTCTGCAGGACTGGCCCCTTGGCCTCGGGCTCCAGGCCAAGGGATGTGTTGGTGCCCTGCGGTGGCACAGGGGAGGAGTGGCTCCAGAGGTGCTGCAGGGGCTGGGTGGGGGGAACCTCGCAAGACCTCAGTCACTGCCCCACCTTGGATTTCGGGTGGGTTTATTGGTGTAGTCAGGTCTCAGGAGTTCTTTTGCTACCTATACATATAGCACTTTTTATCTACAAATAAATGCTTGATGCTTTTATCCCCCCCTCCAAAAGAGGGGATGAGTCAGGGTATGAGCCAGCTGCTCTGCTCGAACTGCAAAACTGAAATTCCAGCTTGCAAGAAGTGGTACCAAGCCACAGCCAGAAGTCTGAAACACTCCAGGCTTTGTAAAGCTATTGTCAGCGTGTAGGTAATGTTTATGCGAGACTCCCTTCTGTTTGTTTGCAGTTGCCACAAATTTTGTTTTAGCTTAAAAACGAAGAGGAACCGTGAAAAGTGTGGTTTATAATCACAGGGAGAAGGGGAACAAATTAATGAGACCTTGTTTAACGCACAGCACAGAGTTTAGGGAAGGGGAGGCTCTGAAGCCACTTGACGGTGGTGTAAGGCTGCACCTGAGCCAGGTAATCCAGGGAATTCAGAAGCTGTTGCGAAGCTTATCTGAGGACACTTTGTTCTGGTTTCCTATAAATTAATCTGTGTCACTTGGGGCTGTGATGAGTTACCTCCAAATTAGTTACTGTGCTGCCTTCTGGTTTTTGCCAGGTTTGTTCAAAGAATCAAAGTTAGGAGCGAAGCAGGTTTTCTTGCTCTTAAGCTTCCCCCCCACCCTGACAAGCATCTTAACTGTAATTTGGCATGAGTTTATAGAAGTTTCCAAAAAGTTTAGGTATAAGTAGCGAGTTCTGCCGTATGGGATTGTCCTGTTCAAACAACTGGTCCCTTGCTGTTCAGAATGTTTTGGGGATATGCGTGGAGAGATTAGAATAACTTGTCAAACAGCTTTCAGGTGTGCCTTGTGTGCTAGGCGTGGAGGAAAAATGCACTGACAAAAGCAGAGACGGTTTTTGAAGTTCCTTTCATGTAAGCTCATAGGTGCAAAGCAAGGAAGGGGTGGGGGGAATGTTGGGAGATATTAATTTTTACTGAAGGTAAGTTTAATGCAGAAGCTTCAACTGTTGTAATGGTTCCCTTGCACGGGTTGTTGAGGTGTGATTCATTGCGAGCTGTGGTGCGTGTTTTTATCCTTTGGTCCTACAACAAAATAGTATTTTTCTAAAGGGGAAAACTATTTCAAAAATAATAGCTTCACTTGGCTTTTGTAAAAACAAAGCCATCACTAACCACATCACACTTTGTGTGTAGCAAGCAATAGCTTTTTGTAGTGATCTTATGATGTCTGAAATAATAGAAATGGAGATTTTTGGGTTGAGGGTGTATTTTTTTTGGCTGTATTTTCCATGAATTATGAAAAACAAGTTGCTTTATTTTGGAAATTGCTCTGCATTTGAAAAAACGAAGCTCAGCAACCCCAGCCTTGGGGTGGGTGGTGCTGGGACACAGCAGGGGGCTCCCCTGAAGCTGTGGTTCCCCCCCCCCTCCACCCCCCTGGCCCTCTGCAGCACTTGCAGCCCTGGGGCCTTTTGCACCGTGCGGGACCAGTCCCAGCAGCTGCTGCCTGGGCTGGGGGTGCCACAGCTACCCGGGCAGGGGCAGTCCAGCCGAGCTTTCTGCTGTGTTTTTCTTTCTTTTGAAGAGGCGGTGTTTTTAGCTGGACTGAAATCAGAACTTCTTTAACTTAGGGTGGAGTTTGTGTGTTTAACAAGCGCATGCTTCATGTGATTGGATATGTAAGTAAACATACAGGTTTGCATTATGCTACATAACACTTGGCTGTTCTTTAGTTGGTCACATTTTCCTCAGCGTATTCCTGGGGCAGAGGTGGTTGAGTGCTAACCTTTCTTTAAAACAAGACTGAGCTCCGATTTCCTTGTGACCCCCCCTGAAAGCACAGCCTGGATTAAGCTCAGAACCCCCCTCTCCTGTTCCTGCAGGCCAAACTGCCCTCCCGGCAGGTAGCAGTGAAGCCTTCCCGTAGCGCAGTTCCCACTGGCAGGGAGCTCTCCCCGAGTGTGGTTTGGGGAGGAGAAATTACACTGTGCTTCTCTACTGGATGCTTCCTGAAGACTCACTCTCTTATGCTAGCTGTTGTTTTTGCTCCGATAGCAAACTTGCCTTTCCCTTCTCCCCTGTAATGCCAGGAGACAGATCCCTGCAGGCATGTGCACCAGACCTTGAAGGCGAGGTAGGAAGATATGAGCGAAGTGACCCACACCACTGCCCGGCACAGGACGGTGCTCTCAGTCTTGCCCAAGAGGACAGAAGCAGAAGGGTTTGCAAATGCTGCCTCTGCACTTTGAGGAGGGAGGAATCATAAACTGGTACAGGAGTCGGAAGAGTAGAGATGTTGGTTGACACAGTAGCTGCAGACCATGTGCTTCGTGAGCATAAATGCGAAGTGGAAAAGACAGTGCTGGGTACCTAAGTGGTCCAGGAGGAGGATGTACAGCTGCAGGAAGTGCTGTGCTTAGATAAGCAAAGGGTAAAATGAATAAAAATGATGGAAGAGGACAGTCTGTCAGGACTGGGAGTCTGTAATGTAGTGATTTGGCAGATAGTACCACTCCAGACTGAAAATTAGTGCTCCTAATTGCTCTGTTGGGAGTGGAGAAGGTCTGTAATGAGCTGAAATGTGACTTTCTGTATGTTCCTCAAGTTGTGTTCACACCACTTCAGAAAGTGTTTACCCTCCCCTTCATCATTTTTTTTCCATCTCAGGAGCCCATTGAGTCACTCTCACCTTGGCATATGCACGTTTAATTGCAGAGCAAATGCCCCTGCTTCGAGGGCATCCTCCCTCCTGCTTGCATTTCTGCCTTGTCACCCACCCGTATCTTCCTGTAACACAAGGTGATGATTTCCTCCCCGTCTTACTGAGCGCCCTTGTATTTTGCCTTTTCCAGTCAGTTTGAAGCCACTGGGTTTTGCTGACAGCAGTAAGGATGTCTCTGTACCGTTGCTATGTGCTTTTGTGTGGCAGACTGCCTTTTAGCAAGGAAAACTGTACTCTGAGGTGTTCCTTATTATAACTAAATTATGTGTTTTCCTGAAAAGTTGAGGACAGGGCACGCAGCTGTCGTGACTTGCCACTCCTTGTTTGGAGCTGGAGTTGCAGTGAATGTTTACATTGCAGTTCTGTACCTGTTGTGAATGGGAGTGCTTGCCGCAGCCTTAATTATATCTGGGTGAACAGAGCTGCTCTGCATTCGTGCTGCGTTGCGAGCTTAGTAATAGCCTCTGCTATGCGTGCAGCCTGGCGTGCTGAGAGTGTCGAGCTTTCGTTAAATGAAATATTGATAGTGAAATCGGTGATGGCAAACTGCAAGCTTTGATCCTTCCTGTAGCGCGTGGGGTAGCAGTGTGGCGCTGGCCGCAGTACGAGGTCCAGTCTGGCGTCCACGTGCCAGCTCGGAGCTGAGCAGCGCTCCCTGGGCACCTGCTTCAGCCTTCAAGTTTCTTCCCCACCGTGCAGGGTGTCTGAGCGTGGCATCATCTGGTAGTGCCTCCTCCCTGGCGAGAAAAGCCTGCTCTGTATTCAGCAGCTGTCACTTCTGCAATGGATGAGCTCCATGTATTCTCCTCGCTAGAAAACATTTTTTTCCAATATAACTCGCACTTAAAATGTCACTGACTTTTTTTTTTTCCCCTTTCTAGACTGACTGCATTGCCATGGAAACCATTGTTGGAAGAGAAGACTCTTCTGCTGGTAACTCCAGAAACTGTGTGGTGCTTTTGGAAGCAAAGCTCAGCTCCAGCCGGCTACTTTCATTTCCACCAGCACGGACATGGACACACATCCTTTTAATTAGTTTTTCATAGACATCAGCTCTCTACAGTTGAATTAATTTGAATTGAGATTTTTCATAGCTGTGCTTTGGTGATGGAATTTGGTCTTTCCTGTCATATCTATTTGGGAGGCAGCGTGAATGCTAATAGGAGATTCCTGTATGCCCCTTTCTTCCTCCTGCCTCTCCCATTAATTAGTTTTTATTTATATTCTGAGAAGTCAAAGCTGGTTTCCGATTGTCTGTTTAACATGGGTTTTGCTTCTCTGGTACATTAACAAGTGATTAGCTTAAAACATGTGTTGTTTAGAAATATTTTGGCAGTTCAGGCTATTTTTTTTCAGGTGGCTGGGCGGAAGGAGGGAGGGAGAGGTGCACATGAGCTTGAGGGGAGAACCCGTGGGACTGAACTGGTCTGAAAAGGAGAGACCTCTTCTGCCTTTTTTTTTTTTTTTTTTTTTTTTTTTTTAAATAATGTTTTGCTTTCATGGTACAAGAGGTATTTCTTGATCATAGGCTAGAGTATTTTTAAATCAAGTGTCTATGTCAGAGCTTAAAATGATATTTTTTTTTTGCTCAGAATTCTGGTATGTACAAAGTAGGATTAATGGGCTGGTTGTCTTGTAGATTGTTTTTGTTCTTACCCTCAAGATACTTGTTTATAAATATGAATTGTTTAAAATGTGGTTTTTGTTCATGCATTCAAATGGAGAAGTGCAGAGTCGTATCCAGCATTTGTGACTTCTGCATTATATTTGTCAGCTGTAGCTTTTTAAAGAGAAACCACCCTAATTGATCTTACTTTCAACCAAGTCCCGTTTTAATTTGAGACTATTTTTGTTCTTTCTTCGTGGCATAATGGGAAGAAGTAAAATACTGGCTCATCAGTTGTCCTTATCCTGGTTAAAGAAGTGCGAACAATGATGATTTGACATTTTTAAAATAAATTGCAGAAAAATCAGGGCTTTACTCTTGTACTGATTTTTTTTTTTTTTGGTTGAAATGAGTTTAGGCTTTTTAACACTGCTACAAACTTAAAGAGCATGACACTAGTTGTTGGTACATGCAATGTATAATAAAAGGCACTGACGATTGATAAAGGATTTAGAAGTGGTACACAAATCCTCATGCTGTACTGCACCACACAGCTGGTAATCCTCTACATTGTATATTGTACAACTGATTTGTTGGGCTGCCTCACCTCTAACATACAACCTTGAAAATACTAGTACAGTTTTGATTGTTAGGTGATGTGTACCCAAATCTATTTTGAGTAGTATTGTACATGTCACTAAAAACATGAAGACTTCTTTTTGACACATGGTACCAATCAGTTTACACAGTGTCTAGTGACAGGAAAAACTGTTGCTAGAGGATTTAAAAGCACAGACCTGTTTTTGATTCTGGAAGAGAAGTTCAAGTTGGTACAGTTCCTTGTTGCTGCTAAACATTAATTAAAAATATGACCACTTTTCTAGACCATGATACTGTCTCACCATATAGCTTTCGTTTGGTCTCGTAAATTAATAATGCAATATGTAGACAGCTTTTTATAAAGCTTTACATCTTTTTTAGGAAATCAAAATTTGGATGAAGGTAGTTCTAAACCTTTAACGTGAAAGGAAAAGGTTGTTTTGAAGAAAATAATGATCTTACACACTTATTTCATATTAGATCCCTGAGGCTGCCATTGTACAATATACAGCACTGATTTAATAAATGCTGAATAAATAATTAAATGGGTAACCTCAAGTAGAGTGGTACAAATACTAACAGGTACGGCATAATAAATATGCAATCTTTTTGAATCTCTTAGTTTACAGCAACTAATTTATTCAGTATTGTGCTGGAAGAACATTTTCAGAATATGTAAAACATATCACTATATATACTACCTTCCAGCTACCCGTTTATGCTGCTGTATAGTACAAAAATACCAATGATGGAACAATGTTTGTCCTGTAAATTTAATTTGATATTGGACAGTTATTGTCTGTACAAACTAAAACATATATGGTTGAAACTGTTCATTATATTTGCTATTTCTGCTTCACAGATCTGTTTTAAAGTTGAGCTGATTGATCTGGCTTTGTCTTCCATTGTAAATATTGTTATGTTGTTTTCTTTGTAAAACACATCGCGTTTGCGGTTTTGGGAGACTGGCTTGAAGCTCTGTATAGTGTTTATATTTATCTGACTTGGCTTTCCATAGAGCTACTTGCAGTAAATACGTGTTCATGTAGCTCCGTGTCTGGGCTTTATTTTTAAACAAACTTTTGTTTTATTTTGTCAAAAATGCATTTCCTGCTGCTGCTTTCTTTTTAGAGTGGTTTTGTCACCCTGCTTCCCTGAAGATTTGGAGAAGCTTTTAGCATATTTCAGGGGAGTGATTCTCAGCCTTTCCCATTTACTCTGCCACTTAGCGTAGAAGGTTACAGGCAGCAAAACACCCGGAAGTTTTCTTTGTCATAGATTTGCACTGCTGGTAAACAACTGAGTTGTTGACTGGGGGGTGGTGGAAATCAGTGCATGATACTTCCTGCTTTAAATGCAGAATATCTCATCAATTTGGGGTTCGTAGCTTTGTCTATGACTGGGTATGGAAGTTTTATTATCAGCATGTAGTAGTCTTGGAAGGAATTTTTAGCAGCAGAGTGTCAAATAGGCGGCTGCCTTTAGAGTTTACGGTAAAAGGGGACAAGTATGGCTTGCTGTTTTAAGTTTCATAGCAGTACTTTGGTTTGAGATGTGCTAAATATGGTCCCAGTATGTAAAAACAAAACATACATAGATCTCGTAATTTCGGGTAGCGTACCCACTTGTACAAACAACTGAGCTTAAGCTGAAAGATACCTATAAAGTGTAATGCCTCTTCAGATTCTTCCTGATGTGAACGATATGTCAATTTGATATAGAAGGAGTTTTTATCCATAGATGTGAGCATATCTTATTTTCACAAATATGAGCAATTAACTTTGAAGTGCATTGGATTATATATTTTTTCTTTAAAAATACCTGATTTCCTCCTTATTCTGTTATTCAGAATACTGCATCAAAACAACTCGGTAGAAGTTGGGTTTGCTGTAAGAATTGGGTTTTCTCCAACTAAACCAGCCCCCTTACTTAGGGCCCCATTTTATAGCATGGAGCCTGTATTGGGAAGAGAAGGAAGACAGTACTTCTCATACATGGCAGAAGCAGCCCTACCAGCAGTAAACAAACAGTGAAAATTATCCAAACACTGTCAAGATTGTTGCAACAGTCTCACAATAACTGCTTTAAGAGATCTTTGACTGAAAGCCTCAGCAGACCTGACATCAGCTAACTGCTTGAGGTTTTTTTTTTGTTTGTTTTTTGGGGGGGGGGAGAGAGGAAAGGGGAAGGCTGAGGAGGGGAACACAGTTTTGCATTAATTTTTCAAACTCCTTTGGGTGAATCGTTGGCAGAACTCAGTTTCTGAAGCATGATGAAAGCCCTCAATTAAAACCAGAAGGCAGTACGCCTTCCTATCTGAGCTTGAAGGTAGTGACTAAAATAGACAGTAAGTCTTTGTTTTGAAATACACTGACCGATTCCAATGGCCCTTGCATCTCCTCAAGCAATATGGTACTGGAAATAAGTATCTGTCAGTGAGAAATGACAGGGAATGAAGGACCAATTCAGTTACCAGGTACTATGACATATTCTACTTTTCCCATCCCTGCATCCTCTTTTGGCTGTAGTAATTTTTTTTTCTTCTAATTTTTCCATGAAGGGCCACGAAAGAACATTACAGAGGAGAGCAGGAGCCCTGAGCTTGCTGCATGTATCTGGGAGGTAAGAATTCTCTTTTACCTCCCTTTTGTAAGAGGAACACCCCAAGCTCAGGCACTTGCTTCGTTTGCTTCGTTTCTTTGGTTTTCTCTCTGAGATACTGAGTTACTTTAATTAAATTATTTTAAAGTATTTTAATTGCCTTTGAAAGAAGAGTTGCAAGCTATAGAGACTGACTCTCAGGAAATTCTAGCTCAGTGGGCACAGAAACGATTCATTGGCAGTGTGGCAGTAGCTACTGGGCTGTGCTCCACCCTTGAGCAATAGTGAGCACCTCTAGTACAGCCAGCAGTTTGTCTGCTTTAATAACCAGTTAATCTTGACCTTGTTGCCAGCTGGGGCTCTTCTTACGCAGTGGTCACCAGTCTGCAGCACATGGGTTGAGTTAATAATCTTTCCTTCAAAAGCAAAGAACTCCAGATACTTACCCTATGTATTAAAATGTAGAACGCTGCTACTACTCCCCTGAGCTAATTACTGCTCTTGCCTTTCATTAGCAAGTGTCCTGCTTTTTGTCACTAAACTGCCCTGAAAAGACTAAGTTATTGCTGTGTCTTGCACAATGCCCAGCTTGCACTTCTAGTTGAAGTAGCCACAGCAGCAGAAGTATTTTGTGTCCGGCAACATCGCTGGATTGTTTAAGGGATAACTTCTCTGGGAGGGAACGGTAAAAAAAAAATCAGCTAATGGTGTCCACAGCAGCATGCTCCTAAATCTTACAAAACAGCTTTCCCTTGGTGCCCCTGTGATGGCACTTCTCTACAGTGAAGGCACCACACTGACTCAGGCAGTTAGCAAAACAGAACCTATGAAATATATGCTACAAAATACATAATCTGGATAGAAAAGTGCATAGAAAATGAAAAGATCAAATTTTGGAGCTTTGGCCTTTCTTACTTGCAAGATCAAAAAAAAATCCCTCTTTCAGGTTCTAAAATTGCTTTCTAAAATTGGTACTTCCTCTGCCTTAGAGACAAGAAATCCTTAGCCATTGAGGGACTGACCTCTGCAGTAGAGGACAAAAAACCTGTATGCTTAAGAGCTTCTAAAGCACAAAGTTTGCATGCAGTAGTCTAGTTCAATGTACTTCAAAACTTGCTGCAGTGCTGTGTGTGCTCATCTTAGTTTATAGATTGATTGGAGAATTCTCTCAGAAGTTTAAGTTCTGCGTTATATGAATTTGAGGGTGAAAGAAGCAGTTCCCTTTTAGTCATGGCCTAGAATAGAAATTATTACAGTGACAGAAGCTCCTGCATAGCCTGTCTTTAGTAGAATTTCATTCTTTACTACTATAACAGTATAAATCCAAGTTATACATAAGGTTACTGTTTTTTTAGGATTTGCACACTAGTGTTCCTTCAGAAAGCTGCATTTTTAACTAATCAGCCATATTGCAACTGGCAGCAGACCATCTTTAACTCCATTCTGCAAGAAGCTTTCAAAGAACTGGGCAGTGAGGAAGGAGAGGTAGTGCACTCCCCTTCCAGCAAGCTTTAATAAGTCATTGCTGATGCAGGCACTTCCAGGAACTCGGTCCTGTTTCTGCTCTAGCTTTCTTTGAAAGCTGTATGGTGCCCTCGAGTGGCTGAAGTGCAAGTCTTTTCCCCCTTAGAGCTTACAAATGCAATCATGTTCGCTTCCAGGTTCTTGCTTAACTAAAACAGACTGGTTTTACATACTTAAACCTTTAGTTAAAAACCTTTAGTTAAAAACGAATCAAACTACAGGAAGAAAGCCTAACTATAGTTGAGTAAGTGAGGTTCTGATCAAGATCATGTTTAGGCTGAAGACTGTAATGCTTTACGTGGTCAAAACAAGAACTTTGAAAATAATAAATCTGCAAACACAAGGTTTTACCTGTAGTTTAATATTTATATACTGATGGATAGCACCTAGAGGCCCCAGTCAACAGCTGAGGTCCCCTTCAATGTTGCATATAGACATGTCTCTGCCCCCAAAGAGCTTACAGTCTAAGCAGTCCAGAAGTGGCAGAAAATAATAACCATGCTTTCTTTTATAGAAGAGAAACTCAGATCTAACACAGGTCAAGTGATTTGCCTGTTCTAAGGCACAGACTGTGGTGGGAATTAAGCGAGCATTGTTTTAGTCTCTACTGCATGTCTCAATTAAAAGATGCTCCTTCTGCTCTACACTACTTTTCTCTTAACAAAAAAAAAAAAAATCACAATTAGCTCTTTGAGAAATCTCAGCCTAAAGTTGATTAAAGTTCAGGACTGTTCTCTAAGTCAAGGTGGGAGCTGCAGGAGTAGAACAAAGAACATACCTGTCAGAAGTGTAGCTGCTTCTCATTTTTTGTGGTCATCTCACAGCTTTGGGAGCTAAAGCCTGCAAGACAAGCTGCTCTGCACGCTATCTACATTAGATTGGAATTGTAACTCCTGTCTTGTCAATATTCAGTATGTTTTGTTCTACATGCTGCAAAAGAGGCCCAAATCTTAGAAAACAGCACCATTGATGCAGTGCTAGAACAAACATGTTTTGCCCTTTCCCAGGTCCCAATATATAAACACAGCTCCTTGTTGGTGAATGCAATCAAGGCAAGACAGGTCGAGTTGGTAGGGATGCAGGAGAGCTCTTCACCCTGGGCACTGGCTGAACTTAGCCTCTATTCTGTTTTCTGGGGCTAGGGATAGGCTCCTATGTTCATTTTACACTTTTGAGGAGGAGCCAGTGGTAAGATACGAGCTTGGGTTTACAAGAGACATAACATTTTACTTTAACTTTGGTAACAAGTTCTTGGCTTGGAGATAGCAACAGGTTCCATTTATTGTGATGCGCATCAGCAAAACAAAGTAAACTAAGTAGAAAGATGCATATTGTTGGTAGATAATGGCCTACTCAGCATAGATAACTGCAGCTAATGGAAAAAGGATAAAGCTATTATGTCTTTGCATTTTAAACTAAATAATCTGTTTCATACCTGAAAGCTTTTGAAATCAGCACCAATCTCATTGCAAAAATCACTGCCACCTGGTAAGTCACCAGTCCTATGTCTTTTTCAAACATGCATAAAACAAGATTTCTGATGCTCCAGGTCTACAAGGACAACTGAAAGGTAAGGGTGAATAGCCATTAGCAGATAAATTACTTAACAGTAGTCAATATAAACACATGTACTTCACCTGTATAAAGCTGTATGTTAATTCACAAGTTAAATTGTATTGATAGATAGTGGAGGTGACAATATACAATGAAAATGTTAAAAGTATCAACACTTGAAAAATAGTCTTGCTTTGGCTAGGGAGCTCTGTTTATATATAAATGTAAATGAAGCAGTACTGACCATAAAAGCTGACCAGTCACGGACAGTTACGCATACAAAAAGTGATCACTGTTCAGCTATTGCACAAGTAGTGACACACTAAGACATACACAGTAGGATTCTTACAAAATGACATCAGAAACAAG